GCCACACAGAGTGCAAGCGCTCTTTCTCCTCTGTCAAATCTTTTAAAACTGGGAAATTAAAAAGCTGTCTCTTCATAGGCACCTGGGTAGCTAAGTCAGTTAATGGTCTGACTCTTGATTTTGGCTCAGGTCATGATCTCACAGTTGTGAGATTGAGCCCTGTGTTGGGCTCCACGCTGCGCTAGGAGCCTGCCTAAGATTCTCTCTCTCTTTCCCTCTGCCCCCTCCCTACTTGTGCTCTCTAAAAAATAAATAAAATAAAATTAAATTAAATTAAATTAAATTAAATTAAATTAAATTAAATTAAATTAAATTAAAATAAAATAAAATAAAATAAAATAAAATAAAGCTGTCTTTTCAATAAATATCTACCCTACACCCAGCCCAGATTAGGACCGAAGCTGAGCTGATCTCATTCACCGGCCAAAGTGTCAGTTTTCCCAGCATCACTATCAATAAACAAAGCATCCCTCCAAGGCACAGTGGGCTGTTTCTACAAAGGCTACTAGTGAGGACCCCATTTCTCAATGTGATTCACAAAGATAGAATGTTTCCAGGGTCCTTGACCTAGGCTTGTTTATTTATTTACCTTATGTTCCACCCTGTTACAAAAGTATTTAAATAGTGGTTCTTGGGGCGCCTGGATGGCTCCGTAGTGGCTCAGTCCATTCAGCTTCTGACTCTTGATTTTGGTTCAGGTCAATTCACCGAACGGAGCCCCCTTGTCCTGCGTCAGGCTCTGCGCTGACAGCACAGGCTCTCTCTCTGCCCCTCCCTCTTGTGTGTGCAGGAGCACACTCTCTCTCTCTCTCAAAATAAACACTAAAAAAAATAAAATAGTGGTTCTTTAATGTATATGACAATTCTCAATTATTCAAGTTGGTTTTTCAATATGTGGATTTTATCTACTCTAGACTTGCTCCCCCTCCTTCCTGACCTCACAGGTGTGCAAACACCTATAGTTCCGGAAGTAAGTTTGGAACAATCTTGGTTTGGTCAAAACTCAGAAAAACTGTATAAGGCAAAGTTAAGTCCTACTTAATCAGTTACATACTTCCTTCCCATTAGTACCTCTACTGGGCCAGTGGCAAGGAGCCAGGTTTATGGAACTGTCAGTTGGGCAGGCGGGCAGTAGAGAAAAAGAAAAGCCTAGGGGAGCCCCTGGACTCAAAGAGAGGATGCTGCTGACGGAAAGCATATCTCTTCCACCCTCACCCTCCCCTGGAATCAACCTCTCCAGGCCTCAGCAACTCTCTGTCAAGCAGGGGTCATAGTGAAGAGCGAAGAGGCATGGAAATGAAAATGCTTTAGCAGGCCTCATGAAGAGGGTCATCTTAAGCGGGGAATCCCTCTCTGGATTAACCAGTAAGGACCAGGTCTGCACTGTAAGCAGTTTGTTTCCCAGATGCTGACCAGGGAGAAGAGCCTTGCTCCTTGATTCTCAAGGCAGCACTATGGGTATGTCTTTTAATTAATTGATTAATTAACTTTAATGTTTATTTATTTTGAGAGAGAGAGACAGAGCACAAGCAGGGGAGGGGCAGAGAGAAGGAGAGAAAGAATCCCAAGCAGGTTCCACGCTGCCAGTGCAGAGCCTGATATGGGGCAAGAACCCACGAACCACAAGATCATGAGCTTAGCTGAAACCAAGATCTGGACACTCAATTGACTGAGCCACCCAGGTGCCCCTAAATTTGTTAACGTTTGTTTATTTTGAGAGAGAGAGAAAGAGAGACAACACAAGTAGGGGAGGAGCAGAAAGAGAGTGAGAGAGAAAATCCCAAGCAGGCTTCTCACTGTTAGCGCACAGCCAGACATGAGGCTTGATCTCACAAACAGAGATCATAACCTGACCCAAAATCAAGAGTTAGACCCTTAACCAACTGAGCCATCCAGGTGCCCCCCACTATGGATCACTCACTCCTAAAAGTGTTTTTCAGCTAAAAGTAAACATGGAAAAGTGTTCCTTCCCTTTTCTAAAGACATAAATGATTTTTAGAAAGTTTTTGACAGGGGGACTTTCCTACTCTGAGTTGTGTTTCAGGAATAAATGAGCTAACTGATATGTTAATAAGAAAGCATATTACCAGGGCGCCAGGGTGGCTCAGTCGGTTGAGCGTCCAACTTCGGCTCAGGTCATGATCTCACAGCTCGTGAGTTTGAGCCCCACGTCAGGCTCTGTGCTGACAGTTCCGAGCCTGGAGCCTGCTTCAGATTCTGTACCTCCCTCTCTCTCTGCCTCAACCCACTCACATTCTGTCTCTGTCTCTCTCAAAAATAAATAAACATTAAAAAAAATAATAATTAAAAAAAAAAAGAAAGAAAGAAAGCATATAACCTCACCCAGAGCAACATTTCTGGAATTCGAATCAGTTCTCTCTTCCAACCTGGTTGTCATTGCTAATACACATGTAAAATCGCACAACGGTGAGGTACAACCCAAAGAAAACCATCAGCCTCTAAAATGAGGGCTAACTCATAACCTCTAAAAGGAAGGCTAACTTGTAACCTGATTTTTGAGACCTTCAAAAAGAGACCTTTGGGGGCCCCAAGGCCCCCCACCACACAGCCATAATAACTATCCAAGTAACAAAAACAAAAGGAAAATCCATTTTCCCCAACACAAAATTGGGACAAAATACATTTTAAAGGACTTTTTACATCATCTAAGATTCTAAATGTCAAGGAGAGCCTAAATAATCATGTCTAGCACCCAACAGAGTACCACCCGAAAATGGACTCCATGCAAGGTTTTGATCCCTGACATTCAGGAGCAATAATAAAATGTTTTGGCCACCATTTCTTCATGGATTCCACAGCACATTTGATTCAATTATCATTTCAGGCTTTTTGAAAAGTTCCTTCTTCTCTCCAGTAATATGTGGTTTAAAAACCTTAATTAGGCACAGGCAGAAATAGACCGGGAATCCCCCACATGTTCAGATTAAGAAATAGTAATACATAGGGGTGTCTGGGTGGTTCAGTTGGTTAAGCATCCAATTCTTGGTTTCGGCTCAGGTCGTGATCTCACAGTTCATGGTATTGAGACCGGCATCAGGCTTTGCGCTGACAGCCCCAGGCCTGCTTGGGATTCTCTCTCCCTGTCTCTCTGCCCCCTTCCCCACTCATGCACACACACTCTCTCTCCCTCAAAATAAAGAACTAAACTTACAAAAAATAGTAATACATAAGAAACACCTTGTAGTGATCCTCAGAGATCCACTTCCATGACAAGTGCTATTTGGCAATGGATCACACCAGCTTTACAACCATAAAATCAACATCATATGCAAAAATGTCCATAGGAAACATACACCCAAGAAGCTCTAAGCGTTAAATGAACAATTCCATCCACGGAAAAACAAAAACCAGAGGAGACCGCTTTTCGTCTAAACTCCTTGCTCCCTCTCAAAACAACTCCTGGAATCCAAACTTACAAAGACCACCAGGGAGTGTACCAAAGACAGGTTCATCCTCCTTTCTATCCTTCCTAAGTAAACCAACGTACTTCCTACTCCAACAAAATGCTTGTTCTTCAACTGCGTGTATCTCCGCGAGTGAAGAGTAAATTGTCCTTCTTTTTGGGCAGTACCTCTCTGAAGAGACACACTCTGCTCTTTACTGTACGTTCCCAGTGGGCTGAGTCCTTGTGTACATTTTCAAATGACTGAACACTCAGGCTGAGGAAGGAAAGGCAGCCAACAGGAAGATAAGGGAGACCAATCCATTTCGAAGTCTTCTGTGACACACGAAGAAACACATGGTATTAACACTTGACACATTCACATATGTATGAATGTATGTGTACCTGAAGCAACTGTCAAGAAACAATACTTGGTCTTACTAAGTAAAATGCGCTCTGATGGCTTCTACCTTTTTTTTTTTTTTTTTTTTTAATGATGGCTGTGATCCACTAAACTGGATTTCAACTAACCAATGGAACTCAGTTTGAATGGGAGTTCAGTCTGAAATGCAATAAATCAAACCTTACTGTTGCATTCCACAAGCTTTTAATGATCCCTTTAAAAAGCCAGCAGACAGCAGAGACAATGACCAATCACAAGAACCGGACACAACCAGGTAAGCAGTGCCCCTTCCTCTGTCCAGCAGCCCCGGTTTAAGTATCTCCCAATCTCCCAGCTTTTCCCAGGTAACCCAACATGACTCCATCATATGCCCTTTTGTTACCCCGTTTATAAATCCAGTCCATTCAATCTCCCAGGATGGCAAAGTTCACTACTGCCCAGTATGGAACGCAAAACTTCCTTTTTGTTCCCAAACCTCCCTCTTCAAGCCTGGAGGGAAGACAGAGCCTTCCAGGAACCCAAAACTCAATGAAAAAGTTGGTACTCTGCGTGCCTTTGTGATCTATTTGTGCAGGTGCTACAAAAGAGGATACACACGGCCTGTCTGTTCCCCCCTCTCTCCCCCTCTCTTCATCTTTCCAGTCTTAATCCCTGGCTGATGCAGCCTCTGGTGAAATGAGAAACCAGGGAACCCCCTGGAACAGGGGGGAGCCACTCATCTGCATGACAGTGAAGGCAGTGGACTCACTCTCCACACCACAGAAGCGCCTGGCAAACGAGTCACAAAGTCATCTCAAGACCCAAGCTGGAAAAGGGAAGGGAAGACAAGAGAAGCAGACAAACTCAAGGAGCCGGGGCTGGGTAACGGGCCGGACGCCAACTCGCCAAGGCTGGACCGCAGCCCGCCCCTCACCAAGCCAGCCCCACATCCCTGGGAAGGGCAGGTGAGCGCAAGCGGGGGTCGCGGGGTGCAGAGACCCCGGGAGCCCCCGCCGCCCTCGGGGACCGGGGTCAGAGGCCTCCCCTCCCCACTCTGACCCCTCCCACTGGCCCTCTGCCCCCAAGGGGGCCCACTAACCTCCCACTCCGGCTTTTCCCCGTCCACCCCGGGGAGTGCGCCTTCCCTAGTGCAGGGGAGAAAGGAAGCGGGGAAGGAGGAGCGTGACGCCCATTCCCCCCGTCACAGGGTCGTACCGCTCTCGCCGCCCCGGAATATCCCGCGGCGGGCCTCTGGCCCAGCGCCGCCTTCCTCCCCCACGCGGCCTCTCCACTGCGCCTGCGCGCCCGACCCAGCCAGGCGAGCGCCGATCTGAGAGTGCGCGCGCGCCTTGCGTGTTCTGGCGTGGGGGGTGGGACCTATGCGGCCCCGCCCCCTCCTCATCCCCCTCCCTCCTCCCGCTCCCCCTCCCCCAGACACTGCCGCGGCCGCCGCAGGAGCCCGGAGCTCGAGCCGCCCAGCGACTCCCCCTCCCCCTCCCCCAGCCCCGCCCCGCCCCAACCCGGGGCTCCAAGCCGGAGCCGAGTCTGCGCCTGGGGGTAAGTACGCGACCCTTCCCCAACCCCTTCTCTTTTCTTTGAGGCTCCTACCACCACCCAAAGAAAACCCCAGACTCAGCTACGTGTCCCCTCCCTTCAACCTCCTGCGGGACCCAGAGGTGCCCGGGCCCGCGGGACCCAGTGGTGCCGCGCGCTGCCCCCAACCTCGTACCATCCTGAGCCAAATGCGAGTCTTCTGACCCCTGCCGCGGGTCCAGATGTGCACCGCCGTCTGTCCCCACCCCTAGGGAGATCCCGAGGGGTGGGACCCCCGCCCCTGGCCCCCAAGCGCCACTCTTCTCCCACCTGCCGGGTCCAGGTGCGCGTCCCCCCGCATGCCCCTCCAGGGTTCCAGCTGCGCCCCCATCAGCTCGCCGCCGCTGTGGGGAACCTGCCGCCCCCGCCCCCGAGTTTTGGATTCCAGGGTCGCCAAGTCCAATGTCCTCGGTCTCTTTTATCTTTTCTCCTGTTCCCGGGGCCGAGAACCACCCACCCCCCCAAGCCTGCCCGGGGCAGGGGTTCGGGCTCGGACAAGGGCAGGGTTCGCGGGTGATGGCTGGAGGCCGGCCGCTGCCCCCAGCCCGTCTGGGGACTGGTCTCGGGCTGAAGAGGCGACTGGCCCCGGGAGCGTGTCCTCTCCTTGCGCCCCGCACAGTGCAGTTCATTCATGAGCCGCCCGGGCCTGCGTTGGAGGGTGCGGTGGGGAAAGGCTTCAGAGGCGGAACAAGGAGTGGGGCAAAGGCCCTGTTGGGGGGAGGGGGCGCGCTTTGTCCCTCCTGGCCTTCTTGACCGCCTAGCGAGGACAGTCCCAAAGATTTGGCGCCTTGCTCCTCAGAAGAGAAGGTCGCTTGGAAAGTGGAGAGGAGAGGTCAGAGGGGCCAGCTGCCCTTGGGGCTCTGTGCTGCCACCTGCCTGGGTCCCCTGGGGGGAGCTCTGGCCGCTCAGCACTCCACTTCCCTGCGGGGCGGGAGGGTCTGGGCTTCTGTACCCAATACCACTCTCTACCCTTTCCCTGGGTCTGCCCAGGAAAAATGAGGCTGTGCTCAACCCCTCTTGAGTAGGGACCCCCAGCCTTGCTTCCCAGGCCGTGAGAGGAGAGGAGTGGGAGTGTCTACCAGGCTTCCAGCCCTGGTTGTGCTGGCAGCGTGACTGTCCTCCAGGGCACCAGAGGGTCCAGGCCCTGGCTTGCTCCAGGTGGCACAAGCTGGGGCCTGCTGTTGGCTCATCCAACTCAGTCTTGGCCTATGGTTGGGTGGTGGGTGGGGATGTGGCAAGGCAGAAGGCAGGTGGTGAGTAGCTAAAGGTAGTTAGGGAAGCTAACCCCCTTTTGGACATCCTACAAATTCCCTCCGATTATAACAGAGTCTTGGAGAGCTCAGTTCAAATTCCAGATCTGCCATTCTTTAGCTGTGTGACCTTGACAAGTTACTTAACCTGTCTGAACCTTAGTTTTAATTAAAAAGTGCATTTACTACCACCTCCTTACGAGATTTATCATGAGGATCAACTAGATAACACAGGGAAAGAGCCTGGCACCCTGCCTTGTTGTTGATCAATAATGGGTTCTCTTCTCTAAACTTCTGACCCATCTTGGCATAACATCACCCTCCTGGGCTCCCACCTTTCTGGTCTGCTACAGATGGAGTGGATATGTTTGAAGAGTCTGGGAACACTCCCTGCCACTCAGCGGCAGAGTCCTGAAGGCCATATAAACCCTTTAGTCTAAACAAGAAGCCCATCCTGACTGAGGGGCTCTGTCACGTTAAAGTCTGTTTTCCTTTATTTTGATTTTTACCAGTTTTCCTTCACTAAACCAACCCCTTTTATGCCAACACTTTATTAATAACAGTACCTAATATTTTTAGAATCCGTCATGTGCCTTGAACTGTATTAAGAGCTTTACATAAGTCATCTTGTTTAGTTCTCAAAACAACCACACAACTGAATTATGATTCCCATTTACTGATGAGGGAACTGAGGCCCAGGGTGGTGAAGTAATTTGCCCAGGTCAGTAGCCAGATCTGTCTCATCCTAGATAGAGCCTGAAATCACAATCCCACGGTCTGAGTGGGAGGGTCTGGCAGCCACAGGCAAGAAGGAGGGCAAACAGGTAGAAATAGGGTGTGGCATTTTTCCAGAGCTGGAGCTGGCAGCCCCCACCCCCACCAGGTCCCTGATGGAAGCTTCTCCTCCTCCGGCCAGGGCAGCAGCTTGCGGCAGTCAAGACCACACACTTAAGCCGGACTGCCTGGGTCCATATCTGGATCTGTGACAGACTGACTGTGTGACATCGGGCAAGTTCTGCACCCTCTCTGTACCTCAGTGTCTTCTCAGGGTTGTGATGGCTAGTAAATGAGCTAACATGTGTCAAGCACTTAGAACAGTGCCTGGCACAGAAGAAGAGGGAAATCAATATTTGATAAATGCATTCTTTTCGTACTACTTTTTTTTAAATTTTTTAATGTTTATTTATTTTTGAGAGAGAGAGAGAGACAGAGGACGAGTGGGGGAGGGGCAGAGAGAGAGGGAAACACAGAATCCGAAGCAGGCTCCAGGCTCTGAGCTGTCAGCACAGAGCCCGACTCTGGCTCCAACTCCAGAACGGTGAGATCATGACCTGAACTGAAGTCGGAAGCATAAGGGACTGAGCCTTAAGACATCCCTTTTCCTGCTACTATTTATCCTCTTTTCAAGATACTTTAAAAAAAAAAAAAATTTTTTTTTTTAACGTTTATTTATTTTTGAGACAGGGAGAGACAGCCTGAACGGGGGAGGGTCAGAGAGAGAGGGAGACACAGAATCTGAAACAGGCTACAGGCCCTGAGCTGTCAGCACAGAGCCTGACGCGGGGCTCGAACTCACGGACCAACTGAGCCACCCAGGCGCCCCTGCAGATACTTTTTTTGCCCATCCCTGTGAAGCTTGGAGGGGTGGAGCAAGGATATTAATACCTCTTTGCTACAGTTTGGAAGACTGAGGCCCAGGTTACATAGTAGCAGAGCTGGCCTACACCATCATCCCCTCCCTTCAGAACACACAGCCTTCCTGATCCCAAGCCCTAAATGAAATCTTCCCAAGTAACTCTGGAAGAAAAAACTTTTACCTTCTAACTCCCTCACTCTCACCATGCACACGCTTTTTAATGGTAACATAACAACCTTTAGATAGCTAGAACTAAAATCCTCCGCCATTTTGGGGGCGCCTGGGTGGCTCAGTCGGTTGAGCGTCCGACTTCAGCTCAGGTCAAGATCTCACGGTTCATGAGGTCGAGCCCCGCGTTGGGCTCTGTGCAGCCAACTCAGGGCCTGGAGCCTGCCTCGGGTCTGTGTCTCCCTCTCTCTCTGCTCCTCCCCTGCTCACACTCTGTCTCTCTCTCAAAAATAAATAAAGATTTTTTTTAATTTAAATAAATAAATAAAATCCTCCTCCACTTTCTACATACTGCCAGCTAAAGTCTCAGTGTCAGACTAGAGAAATTCCAGGATACACCTGGCCCAGGGGATGAACTGCCCCCTCACTTAGTCCTCCCCCCAAATATTCCGCCTCAGTTTCTTCCACCCTCCCAGCTGCTCTCCCTAAAAGCTTTGAGCAGCTGCCCTAGGTGAAGTTCAGCCCCCCCACAACCCGGCCCCCCACAATTAGGAGCACCAAAGACACCAGTGAGCCTGAAGAGCCACTGGCCCTGGCTCCACCCTTTACCTGACCTGTGACCTCATGTGAGTCCTTCTCCTTCTCTCTCCCTGGGCCCCTGCTTCCTCCCCTGTAAAGAGGGGATAGTGATCTGATCCAGCAAGTACCTTGCCTTCCTTGGGGGTCAGGGGTAAGATCAATGCAGTTGTTGGGGGAAGGGGGGAGTGCTTTGTGACTGTAAAGAGGGAAGCAGCAGATAGACACCATAATTTCAGTTACTAAGCATCTACCTGGACCTTCACCCACCCTATGGGGCCCCCTTACTGCAGAAGCTCGCAGAACGTTCCACCTTCTTTCAGTGTGGACAGGACTGGGGGTGGGGGTGCGTGGTACTCCAGGGGTTTGTACCTATTGCATTCTGGTCTGATGGAGCCTTGGAGTTGGGGAGAGAGGCAAAAACTAGGAATGGGCTGTCTTGATTGCTGGAGTATACTGGAGCGGGGGCGGGGGCCACTAATTCAGAGGGCCGCCAACCATCACAGACCCAAGATCCAAGATACCTATACCTACCTTTAACCTCCACTTTAACCCTGGTACCGCAGGGTTCTACACACCTCACGTTTACATATCCAAGCTTCTAGGCACACCCACACACCCCCCAACTTACACACCAGGGCCTGGAGCCTGCCTCGGATTCTCCTACCTACCCCCCAACACACACACAGACACATCAACACATGTCTGCACACCTAAACATACACATTCCCACAATGCTCTGGTGTTCTCTAGCTGGAGAATGAGCATTTATGAAACTTCTGTGTTGTGCGGAGTCCTGTTCTAGGCACATCAGAAAAGCATGGTGCCCTGAACAGTGTTCTAGCTTTAGAAGGAAGTTGACCTAGGTTTGAACTCCATCATTTTATGAGCAGTGTGACTTAGGGAAAGTTATTTAACCTCTCTGAGCCCCTGTGCCCTCATCTTAAAATGGCAATAAGATCCAACTCAGGATTGTCGAGGATTAAACGAAATTGTGTATGTATTATTCTTGAAACAGTGGGTACTAGATAAGTGACGCCTGTTGTAATTACTAAATTCATGGGGTTTTGGGGTTTTTTTGAGGCGACTTGGGCTGGAAGGGAAGAGGGAGGC